TTTTTTTTTTTTTTTTTTTTTTTTTTTTTTTGTTTTGCATGTTTCATAACTTGCATGACATTTTAGCTGTTTGCTGTTTAAAACCGCAAATTGTTTCGTTGTTGGTGCCTCACGAGTGAATTGTTTGCTCGGTGTAGATTTATTTTTTTTAGCAAAACTCAACTGATTACTGGGCCAAAAACAGTCCCGTTGAAAACTGCTGTAATTTTACACTGGTAAAGTAGCATAGTATGACTGGTTCTGCTGGTTGGTAAATTTGAAATTAATTTTTACCATATTTTATCGATAAATATCAAGCAGGAAGTAAAAAAAAATTGAGGAATGCGTTTGATCAGAAATTCAACTGTACAATAGTAAAACATCAAGTTTAGGCTTCATGAAGTTTTTGTTGTCGCCTGGTTAAATAGTTTTCAACTTCCATAGTAATGTTAGCATAACAGTAGCCCAACGAGATTAGGAGGAAGAACGGATACTGCAGTGTTAGCGTTTCTTCTACCCAAATTCGCTGAACAAATAATGCCCCAACGGATGGGCCGCCAAGGAAATAGAAATTAGAATAGATACCAAAAACGAATGGTATAATTTGTAGCCATGCTAAGATACGTCGAAATGCCACATCGGAGATATAGGTCTCACGGAATTTGCGAACACCATCAATCAAATAGATACCTTTAGCAGTATATTCCACAAAAAGTTCAGCAATATTAAGCAAAATCCATACCTAAATGATGCAATTTTTTATTTCTTTAACAATAATTCTTATTATTCTTTTTCTTTCGTCAAACGATTTTACATTCTACTAATCAATTTTTTAAATGGATAACTTTTTCCACTTTTGATTATTCAAAAGTGCACCCAAAAACAGTTATATAGTAAATGACATACTAACAAAACTGATAGATAATTGCCAAAATCTAAGAATTATTTCAAATATCAAACCAAATGTCACCAAAAAATTTACGTGATCCATAGCCTTATTTTTCAAACTTGAGTTTTTCTTTGCATTTCTGTTTATTTCAAAGCTACTGTTTTTTATCCTAAAGATTTTCAAGTACAAAAAATATTGCAATAAATGATTGAAAAAAATTAGATATTTTTTACTATGTTATGGTACTGGATTCCGTGCCAAATTAGCACAAATGCATAGGATACAAAGACACCAATCAATTTTCTGCCTAACGAAAACGTTGGCTGACAAATCGGAATGAATATATATCGTTTAAAAAATGTGTATAGGCCTCTGTCAAAATTTCTCCATATCTTTGAGTAGAGTGTCACTCGAGCGATACATATTGGGCCATCCTGAGGTTGCATTTTGTCAATATGAGCAAATACTGCTGGCAATCCAAAGATTACCACATATTTTAAGTTGAAAAATTGACCTACAATTACATTAAATAAATTTTTTACTTTTTTAGCAGCTTTTTGTATGTAAAACAAAAACTGCATCAAAACAACTAGAAGTTTTTTCACTGCTGTTCTGAAAATATCTGATCTAATTACACTAATCTATTCAACAGACCAGATCAGTTGCCCATAGAAATAATCTGTTTTACAATATGCTTTTATTGGTAAATTTATAATTACTCCTGTTTTTTCAAAGGGTTTCTTCATATGACAGTGAGAATTGTTTCATTTTGTTTTTAATTTTACTCTGCTTATTTCTAGACTGCTAAGCTTTCAAATATTAGGGTTTAATTTTTAAGTTTTTTGCCGAGTTATTTAAAAGTGAAGGAAAAAAAGCTGTTGCAAGTACCAAGTGCCATTCCAAGCGAAACAAATTGATCCTTTGGAATCGTGTTAGCGTATGTGGTATCAAACAGTAGTGCTTCATGGTATGAAAAATGAAGCATAAAATCAATAAAGCCCCACCAAAATAGTATTCTGGCTGCAAAAAATAATATCCATCTCCAGTTCCGAACTCGTTTATCTCTATCAGCAATTTGTTTCTCAAAATCGGAGTACGGAACTATTAGTGAAATCATATAGGGTGGATAGAAAGTATAAAATAGCATTCGTTGATAACGGTAATGCACGGTTTGATTTTGCGTTTGAGCTTCACCACGCACAAAGTCCAAATTGTAGGAGATATAGGACAGTAGAGTATAGGCAGCAAAAAGTAGTACCAGGAATGGATCATGCGATATCCTGGTTGACCAGTTCATGATAAAGTAGAGTAGTGGCCCCGCACATAGCCATACGGTTAACTGGTGTCTAAAATGATTTTCTATTTCTATTTTTTTCTTCAAATAAAACCAAAAACTATATTCTGCTCTCAAATGCTACAAATCTTTCTAATGTTTTACAAAAAAAAGATTTTTTTCTTAGTAGTCGAGGCTCAAACCTTAGATAGAGAGTCACTGCAAATATAAAAGTTCCTTGTAGGACTGATATAGCAACCAAACGTAGTGTAAAAAGGTAGCAGCAACCTATCATTGAGTAAATCAACGAAATATAGGAAGTTGTTAGCGGTGTAAGAAATTTTGAGCATATAGAAAAGATCAACGAGTGTATGGCCAAGAAAGGTATCATCGAAATAGCGAACGGTGCCCAACGAGCCCATTCCCAGTTGCTAGTGTCCTGAAAAATAATTATATTTAAAATAACTTTTATTAATGTCTACAAAAGTTTTAAGTAAAATTCCAAGTGATACTCTTCTGTTTAGTACTATTAACTTAAGTTTGCTATCGACTGTATTTTAATGTCAAAATTTGTTAACCGCTTCTTCTTCGATTTATAAAATACCATAGAACAAATTGGCTATTCTGTTCCCGACACATACTGTCTGTAAAAAAAGTAATTTTGACTTTTTTTTCACTTTCAAAACAACTCGGCAAAATGTACAGTTTTTGTGCATGATACATTTTTTTGTGCTTAGTGACTAAATGTTTGCCAAAATTTCGGCATATTGAGGCAGTTGACAGTTGTATTTGAAGCAGTTTGTGCTTGAACAATCAAATAGTGAAGTCTTGTCATCAATGGCAGTAATAATAAGTAAATGATTCAAAAAATGTTAGTTTAAGTTCAGTAAATATCATAAAATTAATAAAATCATTGTTTATAAGTGGTATAATGTTTGCTGTTTTGTATAACTTATAAATTAAAAAAAAAAAAAAAAAA